ATGGGGTATGTAGTGTAGAGAGGTGGGTCATGGGGTATGTAGGTGTAGAGGGGTGGGTCATGGGGTATGTAGATGTAGAGGGTGGGTCATGGGGTATGTAGGTGTAGAGGGGTGGGTCATGGGGTATGTAGATGTAGTGAGGTGGGTCATGGGGTATGTAGGTGTAGTGAGGTGGGTCATGGGGTATGTAGTGTAGAGAGGTGGGTCATGGGGTATGTAGATGTAGAGGGTGGGTCATGGGGTATGTAGGTGTAGAGGGGTGGGTGGTGGGGTATGTAGATGTAGTGAGGTGGGGTGTGAAGGTGTAGAGGGTGGGTCATGGGGTATGTAGGTGTAGAGGGGTGGGTCATGGGGTATGTAGATGTAGTGAGGTGGGTCATGGGGTATGTAGTGTAGAGAGGTGGGTCATGGAGTATGTAGATGTAGTGAGGTGGGTGGTGGGGTATGAAGATGTAGTGAGGTGGGTCATTGGGGTATGTAGGTGTAGAGGGGTTGGTGGTGGGGTATGTAGGTGTAGAGAGGTGGGTCATTGGGGTATGTAGATGTAGTGAGGTGGGTGGTGGGGTATGTAGATGTAGAGAGGTGGGTCATGGGGTATGTAGGTGTAGAGAGGTGGGTCATGGGGTATGTAGATGTAGTGAGGTGGGTCATGGGGTATGTAGATGTAGAGAGGTGGGTCATGGGGTATGTAGATGTAGAGAGGTGGGTCATGGGGTATGTAGTGTAGAGAGGTGGGTCATGGGGTATGTAGATGTAGTGAGGTGGGTCATGGGGTATGTAGATGTAGTGAGGTGGGTCATGGGGTATGTAGATGTAGTGAGGTGGGTGGTGGGGTATGTGAGTATGAAATCCGTTGTTTTCTTGTGTAGTGTAGTCCGATTATTACATATTTGGGTATGGGACCTAGGATTTCAGTTGACTGTGTTTAACTCCAAAAGGTTTCATGACCTTTTATTTAAGACATATACATTTCTAAAATTGTAGGATGTTTCATTAGATGTAAGCATTGATCTCATTAGATAGTGTTAAGATGTTAAAGAAGAAAAACAAAGTTGCTTCTTGTCCTGTAACGAAGTAGAGATCCGGTGGTGGGTCATTTATTGATCTACTCTCTCAGGTTGGTTTCTAACACGATCCTGTCTCTTCTAGGGAAATACATTTCACGCGATAGTATTTCTTTAAGCTAAAGTATATACATTTCACGCGATAGTATTTCTTTAAGCTAAAGTAGATACATTTCACGCGATAGTATTTCTTTAAGCTAAAGTATATACATTTCACGCGATAGTATTTCTTCACCTAAAGTAGATACAAGTCAAGAGATAGTATTTCTTCACCTAAAGTAGATACATTTCACGCGATAGTATTTCTTTAAGCTAAAGTAGATACATTTCACGCGATAGTATTTCTTCACCTAAAGTAGATACATTTCACGCGATAGTATTTCTTCACCTAAAGTAGATACATTTCACGCGATAGTATTTCTTCACCTAAAGTAGATACATTTCACGCGATAGTATTTCTTTAAGCTAAAGTAGATACATTTCGCGCGATAGTATTTCTTCACCTAAAGTAGATACACTTCACCTAAAGTAGATACATTTCACGCGATAGTATTTCTTCACCTAAAGTAGATACATTTCACGCGATAGTATTTCTTCACCTAAAGTAGATACATTTCACGCGATAGTATTTCTTCACCTAAAGTAGATACATTTCACGCGGTAGTATTTCTTTACCTAAAGTAGATACATTTCACGCGATAGTATTTCTTTAAGCTAAAGTAGATACATTTCACGCGATAGTATTTCTTCACTTAAAGTAATACATTTCACACGATAGTATTTATTCACCTAAAGTAGATAACAACACCCATCCCACATAAAACACCACGCCCCCCCCCCCCCACCACAGCCACAAGACTTGCCACTAAATAATCCCATACAACACACCAAACCACGCCTACCCCCCACCCCCCACAACCACAAGCCCTGCCTCTAAACACTCAACACCTCAACTCTCCCTAACAGCGACGAAAGCAATTACCATCCACACCCCCCCCCCCCACTCGTCACCACCCCCATAGCAACGTGGCTAATTATTTTATTGCCAAAATTCGCTTGTGTCTTACATCCATAACACAACTTATATATAATACATACATACTCGTAGGCCTACATACATTCACATACACATGCATACGTTGTATACATATACATACATACATATATATATATATATATATATATATATATATATATATATATATATATATATATATATATATATATATATATATATCCTAATACCAGACTGTTTAACTCCAAGTTTCAAGGATTTTCACAAGGCTTTAAAGTTTTGTTTTCCTTAACATTTTTACATGAAGTAGCCTACATTTTAAAGTTAAATTCTTGTGTAATAATGGTGAGATACATTATGGATATTTTTACTATGTCTTAGTGGATTTAGAACAAAACGATGTATAAATCTCGAAAAAACTGAAACACTGTTTTAAAACAGTGTTTTAGGGAAGTGATACACACACACATATATAAAACATAGTTTTATTTTATTTATTTTATTTATTTTATTTATTTTATTTATTTTATTTTATTTTATTTTATTTTATTTTATTTTATTTTATTTTATTTTATTTTATTTTATTTTATTTTATTTTATTTTATTTTATTTTATTTTATTTTATTTTATTTTATTTTATTTTATTTATTTTATTTAGTTTATTTAGTTTATTTTATTTATTTAGTTTATTTTATTTATTTTATTTATTTTATTTATTTTATTTATTTTATTTATTTTATTTATTTTATTTATTTTATTTATTTTATTTATTTTATTTATTTTATTTATTTTATTTATTTTATTTATTTTATTTATTTTATTTATTTTATTTATTTTATTTATTTTATTTATTTTATTTATTTTATTTATTTTATTTATTTTATTTATTTTATTTTATTTATTTATTTTATTTTATTTATTTATTTTATTTATTTTATTTATTTTATTTATTTTATTTATTTTATTTATTTTATTTATTTTATTTATTTTATTTATTTTATTTATTTTATTTATTTATTTTATTTATTTTATTTATTTTATTTATTTTATTTATTTTATTTATTTTATTTATTTTATTTATTTTATTTATTTTATTTATTTTATTTATTTTATTTATTTTATTTATTTTATTTATTTTATTTATTTTATTTATTTTATTTATTTTATTTATTTTATTTATTTTATTTATTTTATTTATTTTATTTATTTTATTTATTTTATTTATTTTATTTATTTTATTTATTTTTAATTTTTTTAATTTATTATTTTATTTATTTTGATTATTTTATTTGTTGTTTATTTTATTGATTTTGATTATTGTATTTATTTTATTAATTTATTTTATTTATTATTTATTTGATTTGATTTTAATTAATTTATTATAATTATTTAATTTATTTTAATGTTTTATTTTTATTTATTTTATTTATTTTATCTATTTTATTTATTTTATTTATTCTATTTTATTTATTTATTTATTTTATGTATCTATTTTTACTATTGTATCTATTTTATTTATTATTTATTAATGTATACATGTTGTACTGTGTGAGGTTTAAAAAGACGGCACTATCAGGTCAAGAGTTTCGATAAAATAACCAGACCAGGGTGTGAAATCTTTTGGAAACAGTGAAGCCACATTTTCCCCCTGTGTCACATCATTAAAACTGCACGAGAATGTGCCGACACCCCCTCCCACCACACCTAATTGCTGAAGGTTACACCAGCGCCCCTCCCCACCCATCTGTTGATGACCACACCTAATTAAATGTGGGCAGCGAGTTTTACACGAGTTAGTTCAATGAATGATTTATCCTCGACTATTGGGATCAGCACCCAATCATTCCACTCTCACTCTCGCGTTTGGTACTCGACACTTTTTTCCCTACCTCTAATCTAATGGTCTATCTGTTCAATGATCAAACATACACCTGCCAACATATCTAATGGTCTATCTGTTCAATGATCAAACATACACCTGCCAACATATCTAATGGTCTATCTGTTCAATGATCAAACATACACCTGCCAACATATGTAATGGTCTATCTGTTCAATGATCAAACATACACCTGCCAACATATCTAATGGTCTATCTGTTCAATGATCAAACACCTCTAATCTAATGGTCTATCTGTTCAATGATCAAACATACACCAGCCAAGATATCTAATGGTCTATCTGTTCAATGATCAAACATACACCAGCCAACATATCTAATGGTCTATCTGTTCAATGATCAAACATACACCAGCCAACATATCTAATGGTCTATCTGTTCAATGATCGAACATACACCAGCCAACATATCTAATGGTCTATCTGTTCAATGATCAAACATACACCAGCCAACATATCTAATGCTCTATCTGTTCAATGATCAAACATACACCAGCCAACATATCTAATGGTCTATCTGTTCAATGATCAAACATACACCAGCCAACATAATAGCAGTTTGAGATTTGTACGCTGACCCCGTCCGTTGGCCGTTCTTATATTAACCTTACTGAAAAGTGGCACATCATGATGGTTTTTGTGTTCCTCAGTTAAATTAATCTCTGCTCGTGATTGTAGCTACAGCGTCAACTGTATGCTACAACAGCTTCAACTGACTTCACTTCTATCTGTGCTGCTAGAGACATTTCTATCTGACAATCTATCTGTGCTGCTAAAGATATTTCTATCTGACAATCTATCTGTGCTGCTAGAGACATTTCTATCTTACAATCTATCTGTGCTGCTAAAGATATTTCTATCTGACAATCTATCTGTGCTGCTAGAGATATTTCTATCTGACAATCTATCTGTGCTGCTAAAGATATTTCTATCTGACAATCTATCTGTGCTGCCTAGACCTTTCTGATAGATAGACCTATGACGTCATCAACAGTCAGGTACGTTCCCACGATCTTATCTTCTACCAGTCCATACTTGCATGACGTTCTCACCTGACCAGGACTGACCAGCCCTACCTCGGTATAAATAAATCACAGCAGCTGTTGTCAGACTTTCCCAGCACCAGCTGACGACAATGATTCGATCTCTAGTCTGTACACTCCTCGCTGTCTTCCTCGTATTGTTCGTAGCAGACGCCAGGCTCAAGCATAAACATTATGGCGCGGAGAAATATTTGAACACTGAGACCAAAAGGTAAAGTAGGTTTTAGATATTTGAACACTGAGACCAAAAGGTAAAGTAGGTTTTAGATATTTGAACCATGAGACCAAAAGGTAAAGTAGGTTTTAGATAGTTGAACACTGAGACCAAAAGGTAAAGTAGGTTTTAGATATTTGAACACTGAGACCAAAAGGTAACGTAGGTTTTAGATATTTGAACACTGAGACCAAAAGGTAACGTAGGTTTTAGATATTTGAACCATGAGACCAAAAGGCAACGTAGGTTTTAGATATTTGAACCCTGAGACCAAAAGGTAAAGTAGGTTTTAGATATTTTAACCCTGGGACCAAAAGGTAAAGTAGGTTTTAGATATTTGAACCATGAGACCAAAAGGTAAAGTAGGTTTTAGATATTTGAACCCTGAGACCAAAAGGTAAAGTAGGTTTTAGATATTTGAACCATGAGACCAAAAGGTAAAGTAGGTTTTAGATATTTGAACCCTGAGACCAAAAGGTAAAGTAGGTTTTAGATATTTGAACCCTGAGACCAAAATGTAAAGTAGGTTTTAGATATTTGAACCCTGAGACCAAAAGGTAAAGTAGGTTTTAGATATTTGAACCCTTAGACCAAAAGGTAAAGTAGGTTTTGAGTATTTAAAACGGCGTGTTGGGTAAACTAAAACATATGTGACATGTGACATGTGACACATTGACACACGGATCAATGACGTTTGTAATCGCATAAAAATAGGTCAATAAGACGTTAGATATGTCTGCTAGCAAGCCAGTAGATTATACTGGACAGAAATGATTCAACTGTCTAACGTCATTCAACAACCAAGTGCAGGATGAAAGTCACATTTGTTGCGGGGTTTTTAAATTATTTTTGTTTTTTTTTATCTTTGTCCACCCAGACAAACCCTGTCCTGCGCGTCCAACGAGTTTGCTTGCCCAGAAAAATGCATCCCACAGACGTACGTGTGCGACACGGAGAACGACTGCACGGGCGGCTTTGATGAGCAGCAGAACTGTCCGACTGATTGTTCTGGCAACCACACCTTCAAATGCCCTGTAAGTTGGGTGGTGTCTAGCAATGTCCTGTAAGTTGGGTGGTGTCTTATAGAAATGTCCTGTAAGTTGGGTGGTGTCTAGAAATGTCCTGTAAGTTGGGTGGTGTCTTATAGAAATGTCCTGTAAGTTGGGTGGTGTCTTATACAAATGTCTTGTAAATTGGGTGGTGTCTTATACAAATGTCTTGTAAGTTGGGTGGTGTCTTATACAAATGTCTTGTAAATTGGGTGGTGTCTAGAAATGTCCTGTAAATTGGGTGGTGTCTTATACAAATGTCTTGTAAGTTGGGTGGTGTCTAGAAATGTCCTGTAAGTTGGGTGGTGTCTTATACAAATGTCCTGTAAGTTGGGTGGTGTCTTATACAAATGTCTTGTAAGTTGGGTGGTGTCTTATAGAAATGCCCTGTAAGTTGGGTGGTGTCTAGAAATGTCCTGTAAGTTGGGTGGTGTCTAGAAATGTCCTGTAAGTTGGGTGGTGTCTAGAAATGTCCTGTAAGTTGGGTGGTGTCTAGAAATGTCCTGTAAGTTGGGTGGTGTCTAGAAATGTCCTGTAAGTTGGGTGGTGTCTAGAAATGTCCTGTAAGTTGGGTGGTGTCTAGAAATGTCCTGTAAGTTGGGTGGTGTCTAGAAATGTCCTGTAAGTTGGGTGGTGTCTAGAAATGTCCTGTAAGTTGGGTGGTGTCTAGAAATGTCCTGTAAGTTGGGTGGTGTCTAGAAATGTCCTGTACGTTGGTTGGTGTCTTATAGAAATGTCCTGTAAGTTTTTGGTGTATCATAGAAATGTCCTGTCAGTTGGTTGAAGTCTAGAAATGTCCTGTAAGTTTTTGGTGTATAATTGAAATGTCCTTAAACTTATGTTATATACAACAGAATGTCCTATAGCGGGTTTTAGGAAGCCCCAAGAAATAGTTGTATGCCTTATTTATATCTTTGTATGAAACCCTTTAGCTAGCGCATTTAGAACTTAGCTAGACCGTCCTGTCTTAGGCAGCACAGCTAGCTCTTATAAAAGCTCGTCAAAATATGATGCACATTGTTTCTACACAAATAGGTGATCACATTTTAAAATTAAACTTCAGTAATTGAGTTCCAGCTAGACTAATTTGTGTATGGTAGACAATGTATCCAAATAATAAATTGTTCAGATTTTTTAAAGAATGAAATTAACTGTTCTAAAATAATCTCAGATGTATTGACTTGTTGAACACACACAAAATGTAATTTAAAATGTGTGTAATTGGAAGCACGTTTTAATTAGAGCATCTCTCTAGGACAATCGATGCCTGGCCGTGTTTTACAAATGTGATGCCTCCAACGATTGTCCCGACGGAAGTGATGAAAAAGATTGTGGCGGTTCCTGCAGGGGTGCAGATTTCAAGGTCATTTGATGAGTTTTGTTTTGTTTTCTGTATCTTTGTTACAGCTGTGGTCACTGTGGGGTCACTGTGTGGTAAATCTGGGGTCACTGTGTGGTAAATCTGGGGTCACTGTGTGGTAAATCTGGGGTCACTGTGTGGTAACTTATGGGTCACTGTGTGGTAACTGTGGGGTCACTGTGTGGTAACTCTGGGGTCACTGTGTGGTAACTCTGGGGTCACTGTGTGGTAACTGTGGGGTCACTGTGTGGTAACTGTGGGGTCACTGTGTGGTAACTGTGGGGTCACTGTGTGGTAACTCTGGGGTCACTGTGTGGTAACTGTAGGGTCACTGTGTGGTAACTGTGGGGTCACTGTGTGGTAAATCTGTGGTCACTGTGTGGTAACTCTGTAGTCACTTTGTGGTAAATCTGTAGTCACTGTGTGGCAACTCTGGGGTCACTGTGTGGTAACTCTGGGGATCACTGTGTGGTAACTGTGGGGTCATTGTGTGGTAACTCTGGGGTCATTGTGTGGTAACGGTGGGGTAACTGTAGGGTCACTGTGTGGTAAATCTGTAGTCACTGTGTGGTAAATCTGTAGTCACTGTGTGGTAAATCTGTAGTCACTTTGTGGTAACTCTGGGGTCACTGTGTGGTAACTCTGTAGTCACTTTGTGGTAACTCTGGGGTCACTGTGTGGTAACTGTGGGGTCACTGTGTGGTAACTCTGGGGTCACTGTGTGGTAAATCTGTGGCCACTGTGTGGTAACTCTGTAGTCACTTTGTGGTAACTCTGGGGTCACTGTGTGGTAACTGTGGGGTCACTGTGTGGTAACTGTGGGGTTTCAGTTGTTGTAATGGAATGACTGTGATCAGAGGCGTAGCGACCCTTCCCGGCACCCGGGAACAAACTTTCGATTTGCACCCCTCTCAAACTTTTGATTTGCACCCCCCTCAAACTTTCGATTACTTTTTCCAACCCATTTTGGCCCCCCTAAGGTCGGCGCCCGGGGACATATGTCCCCCCTGCCCCCACCCCCTCCCCCATCGCTATGCCTCTGACTGTGGTATTGTCTGGTGTCACTGAGTAAACATTAGAGTAGCTAAAATATATGTGGACGACCTAGCCAGATCCCATCTCAACTGGCCTGTAGCCTGGACCATCAAAATGGGACAGGGTGGGTTTTATGGGAGACAACTATGTCGAGCCTGTGCTGTAAAGCGACATTGATTCGGTGTACACCCAGATGCCCATCCCTCACCCCCACACCCCATTCCTAAATTGTAGTCGTAAGACCCTTGTTACGACAATATTTCCCAAACTGTAATAATGACACCCGCCTTTATTTTTAAAATTATTATTACTTGAGTATACAATTAACAAATAAAGTCTTTGACACATATTTGAAAACAGTGAATGTATCTGTAAATCAGTAGTAAGTTTGTTATCTGTGTAGGATGTCAATGTTCTAACGGTGCCTGTATTTGACATGTTGCCAGTGTTCTAACGGTGCCTGTATTTGTCCTGTTGTCAGTGTTCTAACGGTGTCTGTATTTGTCCTGTTTGTTCTAACGGTGCCTGTATTTGTCCTGTTGCCAGTGTTCTAACGGTGCCTGTATTTGTCCTGTTTGTTCTAACGGTGCCTGTATTTGTCCTGTTGTCAGTGTTCTAACGGTGCCTGTATTTGTCCTGTTTGTTCTAACGGTGCCTGTATTTGTCCTGTTGACAGTGTTCTAACGGTGCCTGTATTTGTCATGTTGTCAGTGTTATAACGGTGCCTGTATTTGTCCTGTTGTCAGTGTTCTAACGGTGCCTGTATTTGTCCTGTTTGTTCTAACGGTGCCTGTATTTGTCCTGTTGCCAGTGTTCTAACGGTGCCTGTATTTGTCCCATGGCCAGTGTTCTAACGGTGCCTGTATTTGTCCTGTTTGTTCTAACGGTGCCTGTATTTGTCCTGTTGTCAGTGTTCTAACGGTGCCTGTATTTGTCCTGTTGTCAGTGTTCTAACGGTGCCTGTATTTGTCCCATGGCCAGTGTTCTAACGGTGCCTGTATTTGTCCTGTTTGTTCTAACGGTGCCTGTATTTGTCCTGTTGTCAGTGTTCTAACGGTGCCTGTATTTGTCCTGTTGTCAGTGTTCTAACGGTGCCTGTATTTGTCCTGTTGCCAGTGTTCTAACGGTGCCTGTATTTGTCCCATGGCCAGTGTTCTAACGGTGCCTGTATTTGTCCTGTTTGTTCTAACGGTGCCTGTATTTGTCCTGTTGCCAGTGTTCTAACGGTGCCTGTATTTGTCCCATGGCCAGTGTTCTAACGGTGCCTGTATTTGTCCTGTTTGTTCTAACGGTGCCTGTATTTGTCCTGTTGTCAGTGTTCTAACGGTGCCTGTATTTGTCCTGTTGTCAGTGTTCTAACGGTGCCTGTATTTGTCCCATGGCCAGTGTTCTAACGGTGCCTGTATTTGTCCTGTTTGTTCTAACGGTGCCTGTATTTGTCCTGTTGTCAGTGTTCTAACGGTGCCTGTATTTGTCCTGTTGTCAGTGTTCTAACGGTGCCTGTATTTGTCCTGTTGCCAGTGTTCTAACGGTGCCTGTATTTGTCCCATGGCCAGTGTTCTAACGGTGCCTGTATTTGTCCTGTTTGTTCTAACGGTGCCTGTATTTGTCCTGTTGTCAGTGTTCTAACGGTGCCTGTATTTGTCCTGTTGTCAGTGTTCTAACGGTGCCTGTATTTGTCCTGTTTGTTCTAACGGTGCCTGTATTTGTCCTGTTGTCAGTGTTCTAACGGTGCCTGTATTTGTCCTGTTGTCAGTGTTCTAACGGTGCCTGTGTTTGTCATGTTGCCAGTGTTCTAACGGTGCTTGTATTTGTCCTGTTGTCAGTGTTCTAACGGTGCCTGTATTTGTCCTGTTGTCAGTGTTCTAACGGTGCCTGTATTTGTCCTGTTTGTTCTAACGGTGCCTGTATTTGTCCTGTTGTCAGTGTTCTAACGGTGCCTGTATTTGTCCTGTTTGTTCTAACGGTGCCTGTATTTGTCCTGTTGTCAGTGTTCTAACGGTGCCTGTATTTGTCCTGTTGTCAGTGTTCTAACGGTGCCTGTGTTTGTCATGTTGCCAGTGTTCTAACGGTGCTTGTATTTGTCCTGTTGTCAGTGTTCTAACGGTGCCTGTATTTGTCCTGTTGTCAGTGTTCTAACGGTGCCTGTATTTGTCCTGTTTGTTCTAACGGTGCCTGTATTTGTCCTGTTGTCAGTGTTCTAACGGTGCCTGTATTTGTCCTGTTTGTTCTAACGGTGCCTGTATTTGTCCTGTTGTCAGTGTTCTAACGGTGCCTGTATTTGTCCTGTTGTCAGTGTTCTAACGGTGCCTGTATTTGTCCTGTTTGTTCTAACGGTGCCTGTATTTGTCCTGTTGACAGTGTTCTAACGGTGCCTGTATTTGTCATGTTGTCAGTGTTATAACGGTGCCTGTATTTGTCCTGTTGTCAGTGTTCTAACGGTGCCTGTATTTGTCCTGTTTGTTCTAACGGTGCCTGTATTTGTCCTGTTGCCAGTGTTCTAACGGTGCCTGTATTTGTCCCATGGCCAGTGTTCTAACGGTGCCTGTATTTGTCCTGTTTGTTCTAACGGTGCCTGTATTTGTCCTGTTGTCAGTGTTCTAACGGTGCCTGTATTTGTCCTGTTGTCAGTGTTCTAACGGTGCCTGTATTTGTCCCATGGCCAGTGTTCTAACGGTGCCTGTATTTGTCCTGTTTGTTCTAACGGTGCCTGTATTTGTCCTGTTGTCAGTGTTCTAACGGTGCCTGTATTTGTCCTGTTGTCAGTGTTCTAACGGTGCCTGTATTTGTCCTGTTGCCAGTGTTCTAACGGTGCCTGTATTTGTCCCATGGCCAGTGTTCTAACGGTGCCTGTATTTGTCCTGTTTGTTCTAACGGTGCCTGTATTTGTCCTGTTGCCAGTGTTCTAACGGTGCCTGTATTTGTCCCATGGCCAGTGTTCTAACGGTGCCTGTATTTGTCCTGTTTGTTCTAACGGTGCCTGTATTTGTCCTGTTGTCAGTGTTCTAACGGTGCCTGTATTTGTCCTGTTGTCAGTGTTCTAACGGTGCCTGTATTTGTCCCATGGCCAGTGTTCTAACGGTGCCTGTATTTGTCCTGTTTGTTCTAACGGTGCCTGTATTTGTCCTGTTGTCAGTGTTCTAACGGTGCCTGTATTTGTCCTGTTGTCAGTGTTCTAACGGTGCCTGTATTTGTCCTGTTGCCAGTGTTCTAACGGTGCCTGTATTTGTCCCATGGCCAGTGTTCTAACGGTGCCTGTATTTGTCCTGTTTGTTCTAACGGTGCCTGTATTTGTCCTGTTGTCAGTGTTCTAACGGTGCCTGTATTTGTCCTGTTGTCAGTGTTCTAACGGTGCCTGTATTTGTCCTGTTTGTTCTAACGGTGCCTGTATTTGTCCTGTTGTCAGTGTTCTAACGGTGCCTGTATTTGTCCTGTTGTCAGTGTTCTAACGGTGCCTGTGTTTGTCATGTTGCCAGTGTTCTAACGGTGCTTGTATTTGTCCTGTTGTCAGTGTTCTAACGGTGCCTGTATTTGTCCTGTTGTCAGTGTTCTAACGGTGCCTGTATTTGTCCTGTTTGTTCTAACGGTGCCTGTATTTGTCCTGTTGTCAGTGTTCTAACGGTGCCTGTATTTGTCCTGTTTGTTCTAACGGTGCCTGTATTTGTCCTGTTGTCAGTGTTCTAACGGTGCCTGTATTTGTCCTGTTGTCAGTGTTCTAACGGTGCCTGTATTTGTCCTGTTGTCAGTGTTCTAACGGTGCCTGTATTTGTCCTGTTGTCAGTGTTCTAACGGTGCCTGTATTTGTCCTGTTTGTTCTAACGGTGCCTGTATTTGTCCTGTTGCCAGTGTTCTAACGATGCCTGTATTTGTCCTGTTTGTTCTAACGGTGCCTGTATTTGTCCTGTTGTCAGTGTTCTAACGGTGCCTGTATTTGTTCTGTTGCCAGTGTTCTAACGGTGCCTGTATTTGTCCTGTTGTCAGTGTTCTAACGGTGCCTGTTTTTGTCCTGTTGTCAGTGTTCTAACGGTGCCTGTATTTGTCCTGTTTGTTCTAACGGTGCCTGTATTTGTCCTGTTGCCAGTGTTCTAACGGTGCCTGTTTTTGTCCCATGGCCAGTGTTCTAACGGTGCCTGTATTTGTCCTGTTTGTTCTAACGGTGCCTGTATTTGTCCTGTTTGTTCTAACGGTGCCTGTATTTGTCCTGTTGTCAGTGTTCTAACGGTGCCTGTGTTTGTCCTGTTGTCAGTGTTCTAACGGTGCCTGTATTTGTCATGTTGTCAGTGTTCTAACGGTGCCTGTATTTGTCCTGTTTGTTCTAACGGTGCCTGTATTTGTCCTGTTTGTTCTAACGGTGCCTGTTTTTGTCCTGTTGTCAGTGTTCTAACGGTGCCTGTATTTGTCCTGTTTGTTCTAACGGTGCCTGTATTTGTCCTGTTGCCAGTGTTCTAACGGTGCCTGTTTTTGTCCTGTTGCCAGTGTTCTAACGGTGCCTGTATTTGTCCTGTTTGTTCTAACGGTGCCTGTATTTGTCCTGTTGTCAGTGTTCTAACGGTGCCTGTATTTGTCCTGTTGTCAGTGTTCTAACGGTGCCTGTATTTGTCATGTTTTCAGTGTTCTAACGGTGCCTGTATTTGTCCTGTTTGTTCTAACGGTGCCTGTATTTGTCATGTTGCCAGTGTTCTAACGGTGCCTGTATTTGTCCTGTTGTCAGTGTTCTAACGGTGCCTGTATTTGTCCTGTTTTTTCTAACGGTGCCTGTATTTGTCCTGTTGTCAGTGTTCTAACGGTGCCTGTATTTGTCCTGTTTGTTCTAACGGTGCCTGTATTTGTCCTGTTTTTTCTAACGGTGCCTGTATTTGTCCTGTTGCCAGTGTTCTAACGGTGCCTGTATTTGTCCTGTTGCCAGTGTTCTAACGGTGCCTGTATTTGTCCTGTTGCCAGTGTTCTAACGGTGCCTGTATTTGTCCTGTTTTTTCTAACGGTGCCTGTATTTGTCCTGTTGTCAGTGTTCTAACGGTGCCTGTATTTGTCCTGTTTGTTCTAACGGTGCCTGTATTTGTCCTGTTTTTTCTAACGGTGCCTGTATTTGTCCTGTTGCCAGTGTTCTAACGGTGCCTGTATTTGTCCTGTTTTTTCTAATGGTGCCTGTATTTGTCCTGTTGTCAGTGTTCTAACGGTGCCTGTATTTGTCCTGTTTGTTCTAACGGTGCCTGTATTTGTCCTGTTTTTTCTAACGGTGCCTGTATTTGTCCTGTTGACAGTGTTCTAACGGTGCCTGTATTTGTCCTGTTGACAGTGTTCTAACGGTGCCTGTATCAGCCACAGCTGGTTGTGTGACGGGGACGAGGACTGCGGAGATCACTCGGATGAAGCCAACTGTGGCGGAACATGCAGGCCTGGATACTTTCACGTCAGTCTTAAACTGTCTCACTTCTACAACTGTCTCACTTCTACAACTGTCTCACTTCTACAACTGTCTCACTTCTATATTATGTCATTACAGTCTCACAACTGTCTCACTTTACAACTGTCTCACTACTACAAGTGCCTCACTTCTACAACTGTCTCACTTCTACAACCGTCTAACCACTACAACTTTCTCACTTTACAACTGTCTCACTACTGCAACTGTCTTATTACTACAAATGTTTCACCACTACAACAGTTTCACTACTACAACTGTCTCACTACATCAACTGTCTTAAAACTGTTTCACTACTACAACTGTTTCACTACTACAATTGTCTCACCACTACAACTGTAACGTCTATTTACGTTACGTGACACCAAGTACATATCATATGTGTCATCAAATGTCACTATTCCCAGTGTACCAACGGTCACTGCATCACTGACAGCTGGGTATGTGATGGTGACAATGACTGTGGTGACATGGGAGATGAGCAGAACTGCGCAGCAAGGACGTGTGACTCGTCCCAGTTTACCTGCACCAACCACAAGTGTATCCCTGCAGGCTATCAGGTGAGTGCACATTTTACCTGCACCAACCACACCTGTATCCCAGCAGGCTATCAGGTGAGTGCACATTTTACCTGCACCAACCACACCTGTATCCCAGCAGGCTATCAGGTGAGTGCACATTTTACCTGCACCAACCACACCTGTATCCCAGCAGGCTATCAGGTGAGTGCACATTTTACCTGCACCAACCACACCTGTATCCCAGCAGGCTATCAGGTGAGTGCACATTTTACCTGCACCAACCACACCTGTATCCCAGCAGGCTATCAGGTGAGTGCACATTTTACCTGCACCAACCACACCTGTATCCCAGCAGGCTATCAGGTGAGTGCACATTTTACCTGCACCAACCACACCTGTATCCCAGCAGGCTATCAGGTGAGTGCACATTTTACCTGCACCAACCACACCTGTATCCCAGCAGGCTATCAGGTGAGTGCACATTTTACCTGCACCAACCACACCTGTATCCCAGCAGGCTATCAGGTGAGTGCACATTTTACCTGCACCAACCACAAGTGTATCCCAGCAGGATATCAGGTGAGTGCACATTTTACCTGCACCAACCACACTTGTATCCCAGGAGGCTATCAGGTGAGTGCACATTTTACCTGCACCAACCACAAGTGTATCCCAGCAGGCTATCAGGTGAGTGCACATTTTACCTGCACCAACCACACCTGTATCCCAGCAGGCTATCAGGTGAGTGCACATTTTACCTGCACCAACCACACCTGTATCCCAGCAGGCTATCAGGTGAGTGCACATTTTACCTGCACCAACCACACCTGTATCCCAGCAGGCTATCAGGTGAGTGCACATTTTACCTGCACCAACCACACCTGTATCCCAGCAGGCTATCAGGTGAGTGCACATTTTACCTGCACCAACCACACCTGTATCCCAGCAGGCTATCAGGTGAGTGCACATTTTACCTGCACCAACCACAAGTGTATCCCAGCAGGATATCAGGTGAGTGCACATTTTACCTGCACCAACCACACTTGTATCCCAGGAGGCTATCAGGTGAGTGCACATTTTACCTGCACCAACCACACCTGTATCCCAGCAGGCTATCAGGTGAGTGCACATTTTACCTGCACCAACCACACCTGTATCCCAGCAGGCTATCAGGTGAGTGCACATTTTAATTATTACATTCTACATTTTTTAAACGTGTCAAATTGGTTTTTTTTTAAATAACATTTTTATTAAAAGTATTTAACAGTGACAGATGCTTGCCTGTTTTTTTTGTATGTAACTCATTTATTGTTGTGAGTGTTTATTAATTTTCGCCACAATATTTGGGCTCGATCGTACATCATGATCTCTCTCTCCTTATCTCCCATCGCAAGCATACCCCCCCCCCCAATCACACTACCCTTAAAATTATGTTACTTACATGCTTCTTAATAAACGCAAAATGAAAACAACGTTTACATAAATTTAATTCTCAATAAATACAAAATGTGAACTACGCCACATCAACACAGACAAAATGTAGGCCCGCCTTCCAGGGATACATGAGCTCATTCATGGACAAGCCCATTATTTAGAATCTGCTTATTTTTTATAATTGTTCTATTTATATCTGTTGATTTGTGATAGTTCATGTGGTAAATGAACAATAAACTTGGAGTATTGGAGTATCGGTGACCCGAAGGTCCTCTAAGTGTAATGCACTGGTATAACATCATTGATCTTTTTTATTGAACGCGGCCCATATAACTCTCGGTCACATATTACTCTTTTTTTTTTTATTAGCTCGAGTGGTTGGGTTGTATCTCATACCTCAATTCCAAATTCACAACATTCCTTTCTATTTCCCACCAAACACAACATTCCCCTCTATTTCCCACCAAATTCACAACATTCCCCTCTATTTCCCACCAAACACAACATTCCTTTCTATTTCCCACCAAATTCACAACATTCCCCTCTATTTCCCACCAAATTCACAACATTCCCCTCTATTTCCCACCAAACACAACATTCCTTTCTATTTCCTACCAAATTCACAACATTCCCCTCTATTTCCCACCAAATTCACAACATTCCCCTCTATTTCCCACCAAACACAACATTCCCCTCTATTTCCCACCAAACACAAGATTCCTTTCTATTTCCCACCAAATTCACAACATTCCCCTCTATTTCCCACCAAATTCACAACATTCCCCTCTATTTCCCACCAAATTCACAACATTCCCCTCTATTTCCCACCAAACACAAGATTCCTTTCTATTTCCCACCAAATTCACAACATTCTTCTCTATTTTCCATAAAAACCACAACATTCCCCTCTATTCCCCACCAGTGTGATAACGACAACGACTGCGGCGACCACAGTGACGAGCAGGGTTGCACATGCGCACCTGACCACTTCCAGTGCCCACAAGGCAAATGTATCCCCAACTCGTACAGGTGTGACGGTGACAACGACTGCGGGGACCTGTCTGACGAGAGCAACTGCCCGACCATCCACCCGGGGGTGTGTATCGACATGCTGACCTACGAGGACTGCTATAGGATGAACACCTCCACCTACCCCATCTGCCAGTACTACGTGGACGCTCACAGATACTGCAGGAAGTTTTGCGACGTCTGCAACACGTAAACTCGCAACATGTGTCGAGAGTACAACTTGAATGACGTGTGCAACAAGAAGTCGTGTTTCTATTTTTTTTTCTTTTGCCAATTAATTACATAATCTTTTACAATTTGATTTAGTTCTTGATTTTTTTTTAATTTTTGTCTAAACAAGGTGTTACGTTTTAGTACATACATGTATTGGAAAGACTGCGTTTATCTTATTTACTATTACTTGGGGGAAGTTGTTTGGTTTAGTAACAGAGGATTATTAAATAAAATCCTATTCACGAGCTAAAGACTTGATCAGCCAAATTGTAGGGAGCCAAGTGTTGTTAGTCACTTTCTTCGGGAGCCATAGTTTTGAGCACACATATGACTGCGTTTACACTTGCTACATGTATAGTATAGGCATAGATGTCTACCAAATAAACAGCAAGTGTAATTTAATATATGTTAATATATGTTCTGCGGGGAAAATGTTGTCATATTATATACCTGTTGGAAGATTTTCTTATCCTACATGCTGGACTGTGTTAGTTAACCTCCATGATGGACTGTGTTAGTTAACCTCCATGCTGGACTGTGTTAGTTACCCTACATGATGGACTGTGTTAGTTACCCTCCATGATGGACTGTGTTAGTTAACCTCCATGCTGGACTGTGTTAGTTACCCTACATGCTGGACTGTGTTAGTTACCCTACATGATGGACTGTGTTAGTTACCCTCCATGATGGACTGTGTTAGTTACCCTACATGCTGGACTGACTGTGTTAGTTACCCTACATGATGGACTGTGTTAGTTACCCTACATGCTGGACTGACTGTGTTAGTTACCCTACATGCTGGACTGTGTTAGTTACCCTCCATGATGGACTGTGTTAGTTACCCTACATGCTGGACTGACTGTGTTAGTTACCCTACATGCTGGACTGTGTTAGTTACCCTACATGCTGGACTGACTGTGTTAGTTACCCTACATGCTGGACTGTGTTAGTTACCCTACATGCTGGACTGACTGTGTTAGTTACCCTACATGCTGGACTGTGTTAGTTACCCTACATGCTGGACTGTGTTAGTTACCCTACATGATGGACTGTGTTAGTTACCCTACATGCTGGACTGTGTTAGTTACCCTTCATGCTGGACTGTGTTAGTTACCCTACATGCTGGACTGTGTTAGTTACCCTACATGCTGACCTGACTGTGTTAGTTACCCTACATGCTGGACTGACTGTGTTAGTTACCCTACTTGCTGGACTGTGTTAGTTACCCTACATGCTGGACTGTGTTAGTTACCCTACATGCTGGACTGTGTTAGTTACCCTACATGCTGGACTGACTGTGTTAGTTACCCTACATGCTGGACTGTGTTAGTTACCCTACATGCTGGACTGACTGTGTTAGTTACCCTACATGCTGGACTGACTGTGTTAGTTACCCTACATGTTGGACTGTGTTAGCTACCCTACATGCTGGACTGTGTTAGTTACCCTACATGCTGGACTGTGTTAGTTACCCTACATGCTGGACTACCTGTGTTAGTTACCCTACATGCTGGACTGTGTTAGTTACCCTACATGCTGGACTGTGTTAGTTACCCTACATGCTGGACTGTGTTAGTTACCCTACATGCTGGACAGTGTTAGTTACCCTACATGCTAGACTGACTGTGTTAGTTACCCTACATGCTGGACTGACTGTGTTAGTTACCCTACATGCTGGCCTGACTGTGTTAGTTACCCTCCATGCTGGACTGTGTTAGTTACCCTACATGCTGGACTGTGTTAGTTACCCTACATGCTGGACTGACTGTGTTAGTTACCCTACATGATGGACTGTGTTAGTTACCCTACATGCTGGACTGACTGTGTTAGTTACCCTCCATGCTGGACTGTGTTAGTTACCCTACATGCTGGACTGTGTTAGTTACCCTACATGTTGGACTGTGTTAGCTACCCTACATGCTGGACTGTGTTAGTTACCCTACATGCTGGACTGTGTTAGTTACCCTACATGCTGGACTGTGTTAGTTACCCTACATGCTGGACTGTGTTAGTTACCCTACATGCTGGACTGTGTTAGTTACCCTACATGCTGGACTGTGTTAGTTACCCTACATGCTGGACTGTGTTAGTTACCCTACATGCTGGACTGACTGTGTTAGTTACCCTACATGCTGGACTGACTGTGTTAGTTACCCTACATGCTGGCCTGACTGTGTTAGTTACCCTCCATGCTGGACTGTGTTAGTTACCCTCCATGCTGGACTGTGTTAGTTACCCTACATGCTGGACTGTGTTAGTTACCCTACATGCTGGACTGTGTTAGTTACCCTACATGCTGGACTGTGTTAGTTACCCTACATGCTGGACTGTGTTAGTTACCCTACATGCTGGACTGACTGTGTTAGTTACCCTCCATGCTGGACTGACTGTGTTAGTTACCCTACATGCTGGACTGACTGTGTTAGTTACCCTACTTGCTGGACTGTGTTAGTTACCCTACATGCTGGACTGTGTTAGTTACCCTACATGCTGGACTGTGTTAGTTACCCTACATGTTGGACTGTGTTAGTTACCCTACATGATGGACTGACTGTGTTAGTTACCCTACATGCTGGACTGTGTTAGTTACCCTACATGCTGGACTGTGTTAGTTACCCTACATGCTGGACTGTGTTAGTTACCCTACATGCTGGACTGTGTTAGTTACCCTACATGCTGGACTGTGTTAGTTACCCTACATGCTGGACTGTGTTAGTTACCCTACATGCTGGACTGTGTTAGTAATCCTACATGCTGGACTGTGTTAGTTACCCTACATGCTGGACTGACTGTGTTAGTTACCCTACATGCTGGACTGTGTTAGTTACCCTACATGCTGGACTGACTGTGTTAGTTACCCTACATGCTGGACTGACTGTGTTAGTTACCCTACTTGCTGGACTGTGTTAGTTACCCTACATGCTGGACTGTGTTAGTTACCCTACATGCTGGACTGTGTTAGTAATCCTACATGCTGGACTGTGTTAGTTACCCTACATGCTGGACTGACTGTGTTAGTTACCCTACATGCTGGACTGTGTTAGTTACCCTCCATGATGGACTGTGTTAGTTAACCTCCATGCTGGACTGTGTTAGTTACCCTACATGCTGGACTGACTGTGTTAGTTACCCTACATGCTGGACTGTGTTAGTTACCCTCCATGATGGACTGTGTTAGTTAACCTCCATGCTGGACTGTGTTAGCTACCCTACATGCTGGACTGTGTTAGTTACCCTACATGCTGGACTGTGTTAGTTACCCTACATGTTGGACTGTGTTAGTTACCCTACATGTTGGACTGTGTTAGCTACCCTACATGCTGGACTGTGTTAGTTACCCTACATGCTGGACTGACTGTGTTAGTTACCCAACATGCTGGACTGTGTTAGTTACCCTCCATGATGGACTGTGTTAGTTACCCTACATGCTGGACTGTGTTAGTTACCCTACATGATGGACTGTGTTAGTTACCCTACATGATGGACTGTGTTAGTTACCCTCCATGCTGGACTGACTGTGTTAGTTACCCTACTTGCTGGACTGTGTTAGTTACCCTCCATGATGGACTGTGTTAGTTAACCTCCATGCTGGACTGTGTTAGTTACCCTACATGCTGGACTGACTGTGTTAGTTACCCTACATGCTGGACTGTGTTAGTTACCCTCCATGATGGACTGTGTTAGTTAACCTCCATGCTGGACTGTGTTAGCTACCCTACATGCTGGACTGTGTTAGTTACCCTACATGCTGGACTGTGTTAGTTACCCTACATGTTGGACTGTGTTAGTTACCCTACATGTTGGACTGTGTTAGCTACCCTACATGCTGGACTGTGTTAGTTACCCTACATGCTGGACTGACTGTGTTAGTTACCCAACATGTTGGACTGTGTTAGTTACCCTACATGCTGGACTGTGTTAGTTACCCTCCATGATGGACTGTGTTAGTTACCCTACATGCTGGACTGTGTTAGTTACCCTACATGATGGACTGTGTTAGTTACCCTACATGATGGACTGTGTTAGTTACCCTCCATGCTGGACTGACTGTGTTAGTTACCCTACTTGCTGGACTGTGTTAGTTACCCTCCATGATGGACTGTGTTAGTTAACCTCCATGCTGGACTGTGTTAGTTACCCTACATGCTGGACTGACTGTGTTAGTTACCCTACATGCTGGACTGTGTTAGTTACCCTCCATGATGGACTGTGTTAGTTAACCTCCATGCTGGACTGTGTTAGCTACCCTACATGCTGGACTGTGTTAGTTACCCTACATGCTGGACTGTGTTAGTTACCCTACATGTTTGACTGTGTTAGTTACCCTACATGTTGGACTGTGTTAGCTACCCTACATGCTGGACTGTGTTAGTTACCCTACATGCTGGACTGACTGTGTTAGTTACCCAACATGTTGGACTGTGTTAGTTACCCTACATGCTGGACTGTGTTAGTTACCCTCCATGATGGACTGTGTTAGTTACCCTACATGCTGGACTGTGTTAGTTACCCTACATGATGGACTGTGTTAGTTACCCTACATGATGGACTGTGTTAGTTACCCTCCATGCTGGACTGACTGTGTTAGTTACCCTACTTGCTGGACTGTGTTAGTTACCCTCCATGATGGACTGTGTTAGTTAACCTCCATGCTGGACTGTGTTAGTTACCCTACATGCTGGACTGACTGTGTCAGTTACCCTACATGCTGGACTGTGTTAGTTACCCTCCATGATGGACTGTGTTAGTTAACCTCCATGCTGGACTGTGTTAGCTACCCTACATGCTGGACTGTGTTAGTTACCCTACATGCTGGACTGTGTTAGTTACCCTACATGTTGGACTGTGTTAGTTACCCTACATGTTGGACTGTGTTAGCTACCCTACATGCTGGACTGTGTTAGTTACCCTACATGCTGGACTGACTGTGTTAGTTACCCAACATGTTGGACTGTGTTAGTTACCCTACATGCTGGACTGTGTTAGTTACCCTCCATGATGGACTGTGTTAGTTACCCTACATGCTGGACTGTGTTAGTTACCCTACATGATGGACTGTGTTAGTTACCCTACATGATGGACTGTGTTAGTTACCCTCCATGCTGGACTGACTGTGTTAGTTACCCTACTTGCTGGACTGTGTTAGTTACCCTCCATGATGGACTGTGTTAGTTAACCTCCATGCTGGACTGTGTTAGTTACCCTACATGCTGGACTGACTGTGTTAGTTACCCTACATGCTGGACTGTGTTAGTTACCCTCCATGATGGACTGTGTTAGTTAACCTCCATGCTGGACTGTGTTAGCTACCCTACATGCTGGACTGTGTTAGTTACCCTACATGCTGGACTGTGTTAGTTACCCTACATGTTGGACTGTGTTAGTTACCCTACATGTTGGACTGTGTTAGCTACCCTACATGCTGGACTGTGTTAGTTACCCTACATGCTGGACTGACTGTGTTAGTTACCCAACATGTTGGACTGTGTTAGTTACCCTACATGCTGGACTGTGTTAGTTACCCTCCATGATGGACTGTGTTAGTTACCCTACATGCTGGACTGTGTTAGTTACCCTACATGATGGACTGTGTTAGTTACCCTACATGATGGACTGTGTTAGTTACCCTCCATGCTGGACTGACTGTGTTAGTTACCCTACTTGCTGGACTGTGTTAGTTACCCTACATGTTGGACTGTGTTAGTTACCCTACATGCTGGACTGTGTTAGTTACCCTACATGCTGGACTGTGTTAGTTACCCTACATGCTGGACTGTGTTAGTTACCCTACATGCTGGACTGACTGTGTTAGTTACCCTACATGTTGGACTGTGTTAGCTACCCTACATGCTGGACTGTGTTAGTTACCCTACATGCTGGACTGTGTTAGTTACCCTCCATGCTGGACTGACTGTGTTAGTTACCCTACATGCTGGACTGTGTTAGTTACCCTACATGCTGGACTGACTGTGTTAGTTACCCTACTTGCTGGACTGTGTTAGTTACCCTACATGTTGGACTGTGTTAGTTACCCTACATGCTGGACTGTTTTAGTTACCCTACATGCTGGACTGTGTTAGTTACCCTACATGCTGGACTGTGTTAGTTACCCTACATGCTGGACTGTGTTAGTTACCCTACATGCTGGACTGTGTTAGTTACCCTACATGCTGGACTGACTGTGTTAGTTACCCTACATGCTGGACTGTGTTAGTTACCCTACATGCTGGACTGTGTTAGTTACCCTACATGCTGGACTGTGTTAGTTACCCTACATGCTGGACTGACTGTGTTAGTTACCCTACATGCTGGACTGTGTTAGTTACCCTCCATGCTGGACTGACTGTGTTAGTTACCCTACATGCTGGACTGACTGTGTTAGTTACCCTACATGCTGGACTGTGTTAGTTACCCTACATGCTGGACTGTGTTAGTTACCCTACATGATGGACTGTGTTAGTTACCCTACATGCTGGACTGACTGTGTTAGTTACCCTACATGCTGGACTGTGTTAGTTACCCTACATGCTGGACTGACTGTGTTAGTTACCCTACATGCTGGACTGTGTTAGTTACCCTACATGCTGGACTGTGTTAGTTACCCTACATGCTGGACTGACTGTGTTAGTTACCCTACATGCTGGACTGACTGTGTTAGTTACCCTACATGCTGGACTGACTGTGTTAGTTACCCTACATGCTGGACTGACTGTGTTAGTTACCCTACATGCTGGACTGACTGTGTTAGTTACCCTACATGCTGGACTGTGTTAGTTACCCTCCATGCTGGACTGTGTTACCAAGCAATCACCCAGCGTCTTGTACACATAGCACGAGACTAATCAAAGAGATGCAGACAGTTGCCCGAGGCTGTTTCCTAACTGAGTGCTGATAATTAACTCCGCCATCTTGTGAACCACGTCTCGCCACATCAACCAGATTAAATGGCCTAAATGGATTTTCTCACCCCTCCCTCACCCCCTCCCGGTAAGAAAAAAATCTGGGCAGTCTGTAGAAAAGTCTGCATGTTTGGTACAATCAGCAGCACTAAATGGTAGGTGTTTGACGTTTGTTGTCAGATAAAGAGCTAATTGTTTGCAATAAATGTTATAGCTGGACTGTTTTCTTCAAGAATATGTTTATAAGAAAAAACATTGTGGTTTTTGCTGATCAATCTACAGCAGCGAATCAAGAAAACAATATAAGGTGGCGAGGTTTGGTGTTGAGATGTGAACTTCCAGTACATTTTCCAGCGTGTCTTTAAAGGCTTCAAACAACACACATGTCCATCGAGACAGCAATAAAGATAATAAAATACCTAAATCAAGAGAGAACTATTTAGTGAAACACGCCAGTAGACTCGTGTAAAACGGTTCACAGATAATTGTCTGATTCAACATTTCTGTTGCAACACTGACGTCAAATTGAGATTTTCTAAAAGGCTAAAACCATTCCACTTTAATCTGATGCCGACATAAGAGATAAGTATTTCACACCTTGAGCGGCATTTATTATCAAATGTTGCAGCCATTTTTTTCGCATTGTTTTTTTTTATTGATTGCATACAATAGCGTCTTGCGGGATATTATGGTGACATCTTTCAACAAAAACTTTATTGATTTTTGTTTGTCTGAAGAAACTTTTGACACATGATGCAAGTCAGTTTACCACCAGCCCACACAACCCCCGCCCTCGGTCTAAGACATTGTATGTTTAACGGTGAAGAAAATTTGATATTCACAGCTTTACTTCCAAAAAAATAATTAATTGGGAAATGAAATAAATTTAATTAAAAAATACAAAAAATATCTAGTGCAGATTAATCCAATTGTGAAAACTACAATAATAAAAAAAAGAATTATGATAATTGTTTAAAAATCGTGTCGTCTTATCTTTGAGAAGTTCCTGGGAGTGTCACCTTCTGCTCCAGCTGATTACTAACTCTGGCATGGGTACTGTAAGACACGACAGTCAACAGGTTTGTTGTTGAGTGGAATCTTTCATCCGTTCGTTCATACACTCACTTGTTGTGTCCATGTTAACACAAACTTTTGTAGAAGTTAACACAAACTATTGTAGAAGTTAACACAAACTATTGTAGAAGTTAACACAAACTATTGTAGAAGTTAACACAAACGTTTGTAGAAGTTAACACAAACTGCTAGAGAGCTTAACACAAATTGTTAAGGAACTTTGGGTTTGTTGGTTGACTGCAGCATAAAGAACCCATGTTTTCATGAATCGGTTGGACCCCTGGTACGTTAATCCAATATAACAAATTTCGGGGCGTGAGAAAAGAAACAGGACTGGGGTAGATAAATAGAACACACTGCTTTAAATAATTTTCTCTATACAAATTTTGATCCTTAACGCATATATCTCTTGTTTTGCTTGAACTAAATTAAAAATTTGATATTTTACACATACATTCAACGAAACAAAAGTACATTCTATGTGATATGACTTAATATTCAAGATTCTTAGTTTGTAGTTTGTATAAACCATTTTTGATAAAAAAGGTTTTAAATGCACTGAAGCAAGGAAAATAAAACATACTTTCTTTATTTATTTAAAGCTTTTTGAGTTAAAACCCCATAAGCTGCTTACAACCTCTAAAAGACAATTCTCTGCTCCTTCTTGTTCTCGATCGACTCTCAGTTTAAAAAATCATTTAGCCTTGAAAACAAAAGTCAACAGCAGATACAGTGATCGGTAGTAATTATCCTTGTAATCTCCCATTTTAATATTTAATTTAGTAATTTTTAAATCAAATTTTAATGACTAATTAGATGAAAATAGATATTTTTGCATTGTCACCGGATACCAATATTTCTGGAAAATTAAAACGAAATCGCTGAATTAGAAGTGGATCGAAATAAGGTTACAAGATTTGCCACATCCCATTAACAAACAAAAAAAGACATTGTGTGCTAACTAATTAAAAGCTTATAATTCTACAAATGGACAGTAATGAAGGCTATTAAAATGGGTAAAACCACTGGAAAATCGAAATTCCAACCAGCGGCGTCTGTTTATGTACTTCTGTACATGGGTGTGAGAGATGGGGAGGAACTGCTGATGGGGAATGGGGAATGGTCTCCATGGAACGAAGCTGTGGCGGCCGTACACGAGGCTCGTCATGTTTCTTTGTTTGTTTATTTATGTAAATGTCAAATACATTTCACGACTCAGCACTTTCTATTACAACTAGATCTACTTTGATTGAAAACCAATATTTCTTATATTTATAAGTTGTTTAAAATCTTTTTAAATACAGCACAAACATGATGTTTACTTCCCACAATCACGTGACCAGTCAAGGTCTGAGATATGCAAATTCTGTCTCCGATATTAGCACTGGTTGACGACACAAAGGCAGAGAAAACACGTACAGAAACAATGTTGAGACTTCTAACCGTCGGTCTATTAATAGCGCTGTCCGCAGCTGTCCGCAGGGAGGCAGCAAAGAGGGACAGCTCGCCATGGGGGGAGGCCCTGTTCAGAGACGGCAGGTACGTGTCCCCTCCATCTGGGTAGATACCCGTTCATGATGGGGGACTTTATCTGTATCACAACATCTAGTGGCCACATGAGTTTGTAAACATAGATCTGATTTTATCTGTATCACAACAGACGATCTAGTTGATTTTATCTGTATCACAACAGACGATCTAGTTGATTTTATCTGTATCACAACATCTAGTGGCCACATGAGTTTGTAAACATAGATCTGATTTTATCTGTATCACAACAGACGATCTAGTTGATTTTATCTTTATCACATCTAGTGGCCACATGAGTTTGTAAACATAGATCTGCTGAGATCACGACAGTTGTTTACCAATAGTGCCTGGATTGGGAGATCTGGTAACAAGGGTTGATATATGATACATGTCTTAACTCTTGCTATAGAGGCCAGATTTTCTAAACTGTTAACACTAGTTGGTAAAATCACGTAAGCAAGTAACAGTAGTTGTTAGATTTGTGTTAGCTAGACCAGTAGTTGTCAGATTTGTGTTAGCTAGACCAGTAGTTGTCAGATTTGAGTTAGCTAGACCAGTAGTTGTCAGATTTGTGTTAGCTAGACCAGTAGTTGTCAGATTTGTGTTAGCTAGACCAGTAGTTGTCAGATTTGTGTTAGCTAGACCAGTAGTTGTCAGATTTGAGTTAGCTAGACCAGTAGTTGTCAGATTTGTGTTAGCTAGACCAGTAGTTGTCAGATTTGTGTTAGCTAGACCAGTAGTTGTCAGATTTGTGTTAGCTAGACCAGTAGTTGTCAGATTTGTGTTAGCTAGACCAGTAGTTGTCAGATTTGTGTTAGCTAGTTTAGTAGTTGCCAGCTAGGTTTGTGAGCTCTACTTACCCCAGTAGTTGCCAGCTAGGTTTGTGAGCTCTACTTACTCCAGTAGTTGCCAGCTAGGTTTGTGAGCTCTACTTACTCCAGTAGTTGCCAGCTAGGTTTGTGAGCTCTACTTACCCCAGTAGTTGCCAGCTAGGTTTGTGAGCTCTACTTACCCCAGTAGTTGCCAGCTAGGTTTGTGAGCTCTACTTACTCCAGTAGTTGCCAGCTAGGTTTGTGAGCTCTACTTACCCCAGTAGTTGCCAGCTAGGTTTGTGAGCTCTACTTACCCCAGTAGTTGCCAGTTAGGTTTGTGAGCTCTACTTACCCCAGTAGTTGCCAGCTAGGTTTGTGAGCTCTACTTACTCCAGTAGTTGCCAGCTAGGTTTGTGAGCTCTACTTACTCCAGTAGTTGCCAGCTAGGTTTGTGAGCTCTACTTACCCCAGTAGTTGCCAGCTAGGTTTGTGAGCTCTACTTACTTCAGTAGTTGCCAGCTAGTACATGTTGTAAGCTCTACTGACTGTCTTCACCAGAGCATCTTGCGGCACTGAGCTGTTCGCCTGCCATGAGAAATGTATCGAGAAAGCTTTTGTCTGTGACACCATCGACGACTGCACTGGGGGATTCGATGAGCAGAACTGTCCAAGTGACTGCAGTGGTCCAAACCAGTACAAGTGTGCGGTAGGTTGCTTTATATACCTTTATGTTGTGTGTGGTAGGTTGCTTTATAAACCTCTATGCTGTGTGCGGTAGGTTGCTTTATAAACCTTTATGTTGTGTGTGGTAGGTTGCTTTATAAACCTCTATGCTGTGTGCGGTAAGTTGTTTTATAAACCTCTATGTTGTGTGCGGTAGGTTGCTTTATAAACCTTTATGTTGTGTGCGGTAGGTTGCTTTATAAACCTCTATGTTGTGTGCGGTAGGTTACTTTATAAACCTTTATGTTGTGTGCGGTAGGTTACTTTATAAACCTTTATGTTCTGTGTGGTAGGTTCCTTTATAAACCTCTATGTTGTGTGCGGTAGGTTGCTTTATAAACCCCTATGTTGTGTGCGGTAGGTTACTTTATAAACCTCTATGTTGTGTGCGGTAGGTTACTTTATAAACCTCTATGTTGTGTGCGGTAGGTTACTTTATAAACCTTTATGTTGTGTGCGGTAGGTTACTTTATAAACCTCTATGTTGTGTGCGGTAGGTTACTTTATAAACCTTTATGTTATGTGCGGTAGGCTACTTTATAAACCTCTATGTTGTGTGCGGTAGGTTACTTTATAAACCTTTATGTTATGTGCGGTAGGTTACTTTATAAACCTTTATGTTGTGTGCGGTAGGTTGCTTTATAAACCTTTCTTTACTTATCTCCCTTAGAATGGCCATTGCTTCCCACAAAACTACCAACACCAACTTTCTCCTGTCATTATCTCCCCTATAACAACACCATTATTCGCCAACCTGTACGTATCTCCCCTAGAATGGCCACTGTATCCCACAAAACTACAACCACCAACCTTTGATTATCTCCCCTAGAATGGCCACTGTATCCCACAAAACTACCACCATCAACCTTTGATTATCTCCCCTAGAATGGCCACTGTATCCCACAAAACTACCACCATCAACCTTTGATTATCTCCCCTAGAATGGCCACTGTATCCTACAAAACTACCACCATTAACCTGTACTTATCTCCCCTATAATGGCCACTGTATCCCACAAAACTACCACCATCAACCTTTGATTATCTCCCCTAGAATGGCCACTGTATCCCACTAAACTACCACCATCAACCTTTGATTATCTCCCCTAGAATGGCCACTGTATCCCACAAAACTACCACCATCAACCTGTACTTATCTCCCCTAGAATGGCCACTGTATCCTACAAAACTACCACCATTAACCTGTACTTATCTCCCCTAGAATGGCCACTGTATCCCACAAAACTACCACCATCAACCTGTACTTATCTCCAATAGAATGGCCACTGTATCCCACAAAACTACCACCATCAACCTGTACTTATCTCCCCTAGAATGGCCACTGTATCCCACAAAACTACCACCATTAACCTGTACTTATCTCCAATAGAATGGCCACTGTATCCCACAAAACTACTACCATCAACCTTTGATTATCTCCCCTAGAATGGCCACTGTATCCCACAAAACTACCACCATCAACCTTTGATTATCTCCCCTAGAATGGCCACTGTATCCTACAAAACTACCACCATTAACCTGTACTTATCTCCCCTAGAATGGCCACTGTATCCCACAAAACTACCACCATCAACCTGTACTTATCTTCCCTAGAATGGCCACTGTATCCCACAAAACTACCACCATCAACCTGTACTTATCTCCAATAGAATGGCCACTGTATCCCACAAAACTACTACCATCAACCTTTGATTATCTCCCCTAGAATGGCCACTGTATCCCACAAAACTACCACCATTAACCTGTACTTATCTTCCCTAGAATGGCCACTGTATCCCACAAAACTACCACCATCAACCTGTACTTATCTCCAATAGAATGGCCACTGTATCCCACAAAACTACTACCATCAACCTTTGATTATCTCCCCTAGAATGGCCACTGTATCCCACAAAACTACCACCATCAACCTGTACTTATCTCCAATAGAATGGCCACTGTATCCCACAAAACTACCACCATCAACCTGTACTTATCTCCAATAGAATGGCCACTGTATCCCACAAAACTACTACCATCAACCTTTGATTATCTCCCCTAGAATGGCCACTGTATCCCACAAAACTACCACCATCAACCTTTGATTATCTCCCCTAGAATGGCCACTGTATCCTACAAAACTACCACCATTAACCTGTACTTATCTCCCCTAGAATGGCCACTGTATCCCACAAAACTACCACCATCAACCTGTACTTATCTCCAATAGAATGGCCACTGTATCCCACAAAACTACCACCATTAACCTGTACTTATCTTCCCTAGAATGGCCACTGTATCCCACAAAACTACCACCATTAACCTGTACTTATCTTCCCTAGAATGGCCACTGTATCCCACAAAACTACCACCATCAACCTGTACTTATCTTCCCTAGAATGGCCACTGTATCCCACAAAACTACCGATGTGACACACAGGACGATTGTACGGACAACAGTGATGAGCAGAACTGTGGCGGCACGTGCGCCCCAGGGTACCAGAAGGTGAGTCCTCACATGGAATCTTTACTCTGTTACATTGGGGGGGGGGGGGTCTAGTAGTTTCATCGGGACCAGTGTTTCTCTCAGACATTTTTGTTCTTCAGTCTTTCAGAGGTCAGTGGGTGGAGGGGGGGGGGGTGGACGCTGGTTAGAGTAATTTAAAAAAAAATGTAAATTGTAGTTCGTTGGTTGGGGCGGGGTAATATACGTGCTTCGGGGCGCCTCTAAGATGACTTGATTGTTTACCCACAGTGCGAGTCCGGGTATTGTGTGGTAGACTCCTGGGTGTGTGACGGAACGGACGACTGTGGGGACGGGTCAGACGAGAGAACCTGCACCGGTCTCTCCTGTAACGTCTTCCAGTTCTCGTGCGCCAACGGCAAATGTGTTCCTAAAAACTACAAGGTAAACATGCACCGTGCTAGCTCTAGTAAACATAGTTCCATAGTCAAACCATTACTGGTACCTTAGGGTCTTAGAGGTAAACATAATGACATACTCATAGAGCTATACATAATGACATATAGAGCTATACATAATGACATACTCATAGAGCTATACATAATGACATACTCATAGAGCTATACATAATGACATACTCATAGAACTATACATAATGACGTACTCATAGAACTATACATAATGTTATACTCATAGAACTATACATAATGACATGCTCATAGAGCTATACATAATGACATAGAACTATACATAATGACATATAGAACTATACATAATGACATACTCACGACTTACTTCAGTGTGACTGGGAGAACGACTGCGGCGACAACAGCGACGAGCAGGGATGTACCTGCGACAGCAACCACTTCCAGTGCACGAAGGGCGGCTGCCTGCCTGCCGAGTACAGGTGCGACAGTGAGAACGACTGCGGCGACATGTCCGACGAGGCCAACTGCCCGGCCATCCACCCCGGGGTCTGCATTGACCTCATGACCTTTGAGGACTGTCTGCGCATGAACTCCACCACCTTCCCAATTTGCCTAACATTCGCCGATGGACACAAATATTGTAGAAAATATTGTGGTCTGTGCAATGCTTAAAATTTATATACAGTGTCTATTTCTTCAACGAGTCATGGTTTATTTAAGCGATAGTAAATTGTATGGCATACAATTTTTTGGTTTTTATCTTTGACGAAATAGTAACATTATTCAAGTACATAAATCATTTATATATATATATATATATATATATATATATATATATATATATATATATATATATATATATATATATATATATTTATATATATATATATATATATATATATATATATATATATATATATATATATATATATATATATATCAATGATTTATGTGTACATATATTAATAAAAATATATGAAGCCATATAAAAATATATAACTAGTCCACCTTCATTACGGTAGGACAGCACAAAGCCAACACATACAACAAACTCGCTGTAGGACAGCACAAAGCCAACACATACAACAAACTCGCTGTAGGACAGCACAAAGCCAACACATACAACAAACTCGCTGTAGGACAGCACAAGGCCAACACATCATACAACAAACTCGCTGTAGGACAGCACAAAGCCAACACGTCAAACAACAAACCCGCATTGTTGCCAGATAAAAGTCAGCCTGCCATGGCTAATTGGATTTGTTTTCATCACAGAGAGGGAAATTACGGGGTAAAAATCTGATGTAAACTTGACGTAGGCAGGTTGACACAAAAAACTGATCAAAACTTGATATGCACATGTTAAGATGTGTTTGAAATTAATGTGATGGTGATATGAGTGTAGCTGAAACAGATGCGATAGACTTGTTGTTATATTCTATGTCATTTGCTGGACTTCATATATGAACCTGTCATCTAACCACTTGACATTTGACGGAAGTTGTTTTATGATGTCACCTACCAAATGACATCTGATGGAGGTGGTTGGATGTAGATGTCACCTAACCACATGACATCTAACGGAACTTGTTTTATGATGTCACCTACCAAATGACATCTAATGGAGATGAGAAGACGCCGCCTAACACGTTTGACTACATAGAGGCTGCGCCAATCATTTGCTATTCGCCGCTAGAAAACTGGCTATTAGTTTGATGGCTGCTACGAACTCAAAATAAAAAAAAATAGCCTTTTTTGTGCGGATAAAAAAGCTCATTGATTTGCATGTTATTGTAGCCTGCCCTCCCCTGCCCACGACAATATTTGAAAACAAGCAAATTAAAGAGAGAAAATGAGAGGACTGGCCGCTAGTATCCAGCGGGTTCAGAGATCGAAGATTGATTCGATTTGTGTCAATACGCCACAGTTGTAACACAAAGAGGCCGGCCAATGGTCAGTCTCAAGTGGACAGTGTATACACGTCTTTCTGCCGGCCATCGATTCGTCGCTCGGACACTGATAGCGTGCTAACAACCTACTTAAGATGGTGGAGGCTTGGTTTCACTCCCATCTCATTTGGAGGAGGGGACGGCTGCTACATTAGCCTTAAACCTGGGGTCATGAAGTAAGGTTAACCTCTACTACATTAGCCTTACACCTGCGGTCATGAAGTAAGGTTAAACTCCACTACATTAGCCTTAAACCTGGGGTCATGAAGGTTAACCTCTACTACATTAGCCTTAAACCTAGGGTCATGAAGTAAGGTTAACCTCTACTACATTAGCCTTAAACCTGGGGTCATGAAGGTTAACCTCTACTACATTAGCCTTAAACCTAGGGTCATGAAGTATGGTTAACCTCTACTACATTAGCCTTAAACCTAGGGTCATGAAGTATGGTTAACCTCTACTACATTAGCCTTACACCTGCGGTCATGAAGTAAGGTTAACCTCTACTACATTAGCCTTAAACCTGGGGTCATGAAGTATGGTTAACCTCTACTACATAAGGAATATTTAACCCAAACACTCAGCAAATGTAACTAGGGTTGGACTGGCCCGCCGGTCTACGGGGAAAATCCTGGTGGGCCTCGAGGTAAAACACATCCCGGTGGGCCTCGAGGTAAAACACATCCTGGTGGGCCTCGAGGTAAAACACATCCCGGTGGGCCTCGAGGTAAAACACATCCCGGTGGGCCCCCAGGGAAAGGTAGGGCTCTAGTCCTATTTGTGCTTTGATTATTTAATTTGTCGCGTGAACGTCCATCAAGCAGAAGATAATATCAGGCTTTGGATAAAATGCACAATGAAAATGTTTATCTGAGGTTGGAAAATTTTAAAAATTGCCGGGGCTCTTGGACACACCTAGTCCACCCCTGTATGTAAACCAAATTATAAGACACATTATCCCACCATCTAGAGCACCTTTAATCCCATTTGTTATTGTGTTATTGTCAGTGGCGTAGCGAGGTCGGGTGTCACCCGGTGCGGCACTTAATGGTGTCACCCCCCCAGAGGCGTAGCGACCCTTCCCGGGGACAAACTTTCAAGTTTTCGATTTGCACCCCCCCCCCCTCTCAAACTTTTGATTCGCACCCTCCCCCCTCAAGTTTTCGATTTGCTTGCCCCCCCCCCCCCCCCCTCAAACTTTCGATTTGCACCCCCCCTCAAGTTTTTCTCTATATATTTTGCTATTTTTGCCTTGGTGTCACCCCCCTAAATGGTGTCACCCGTTGCGGTCCGCCCCCCCCCCCCCCTCCCCCCTGGTTATTGTGACCGTTACGGACGTATTTATAAATCACAGATCGATGTGGTAGACATCTCCTACCACAAACAGTTACATTTATATTTAGTTGTGTATGGAACTATATCTGTAAAAATATATTCAGTTCTTTGTTTTTATACAAACGTTTCCCATTTTGTCTAATAAAAAGTGTGATTTCTTTTTCTAAACTAGGATAAGAAAAGCCAGACCGTTTGATTTATCGAGTTATCATTCTAATCACAAACCGAATCTGTCTTACTAAAAGCACTCATGAAACACGAGGCCACCAGCAGAATAATGCTCCCATTTTTTCCACACTAGAGCACAATTTCTTCCCTCCCTCCCCTCCCCCTTAGTTTTTTCCCCTCAGCCCCGCCTCGTCATAAAAGTGAAGATGTGACATTAATTGAAAGCCCTTCTCCCGTGTACGCCTGTCTTAACTCTAGCGGTCCTGGGCTGTGCTAGCCAATGGAAGCTCAACTCTGCGGAAAGAAGATGGCCAGTTTCTCTGAGGTCGTTTTTTTTTCTTGAAAGCAAATCGCGTTACGTAACGCTTTCATGCATTTGTTCTGCCGAAAGCCGTCATTTAAATGTGGATTCCATTTACTCTATGTGTCATTGTGATGATGTATCGCTGAGAATTCCGTGAAGGTGAGACATCACAACACGACTTGCTGAGGTCTACACAACATCAAGTCGGGGAAGGCCGTTTTAATTGGGTTGTCAAACTCATGTTTGTAGACCGGCAGGATGGGACGATAAGACATGAGAAGCTATTGCTTGCAATGCGTGTATTGTTGTATACGCAATTGTTAAGATCTCGTCAATTTTGATTTACAATTATGTATAATGTAGGATTGAATGTTGTTTGTTTAGGAACAAGCGAAGCATGATAAAAATAAATGAAGGCGCGTACTCTAAGGTGTAGAAGCGATTATATGAGTTATGCTATAAACTAATAACTGACATTAGCCAAATATGTATATATTTCTTATGGACATTTTTTTCTAAAGACATCTGACTATAGACTAAATACATCTGACTATAGACTAAAGACATTTGTCAATAGACTAAAGACATCTGACAATAGACTAAAGAAATCTGACAATAGACTAAAGAAATCTGACAATAGACTAAAGACATCTGACTAAAGACATCAGACAATAGACTTAAGACATCTGTCAATAGACTAAAGAAATCTGACTAAAGACATCTGACAATAGACTAAAGACATCTGAAAATAGACTAAAGACATCTGACAATAGACTAAAGACATCTGACTAAAGACATCAGACAATAGACTAAAGACATCTGACAATAGACTAAAGAAATCTGACAATAGACTAAAGAAATCTGACAATAGACTAAAGACATCTGACTAAAGACATCAGACAATAGACTAAAGACATCTGACAATAGACTAAAGAAATCTGACTAAAGACATCTGACAATAGACTAAAGACATTTGACAATAGACTAAAGACATCTGACAATAGACTAAAGACATCTGACAGTAGACTAAAGACATCTGACAATAGACTAAAGAAATCTGACTAAAGAAATCTGACTAAAGACATCTGACAATAGACTAAAGACATCAGACAATAGACTAAAGACATCTGACAATAGACAAAAGACATCTGACAATAGACTAAAGACATCTGACTAAAGACATCTGACAGTAGACAAAAGACATCTGACAATAGACTAAAGACATCTGACTAAAGACATCTGACTAAAGACATCTGACAATAGACTAAAGACATCTGACTAAAGACATCTGACAGTAGACTAAAGAAATCTGACAATAGACTAAAGACATCTGACAATAGACTAAAGACATCTGACTAAAGACATCAGACAATAGACTAAAGACATCTGACAATAGACTAAAGACTTCTGACAATAGACTAAAGACATCTGACAATAGACTAAAGACATCTGACTAAAGACATCAGACAATAGACTAAAGAAATCTGACTAAAGACATCTGACAATAGACTAAAGACATCTGACTAAAGACATCTGACAATAGACTAAAGACATCTGACAATAGACTAAAGAAATCTGACAGTAGACTAAAGACTTCTGACAATAGACTAAAGACATCTGACAATAGACTAAAAACATCTGACAATAGACTAAAGACATCTGACTAAAGACATCAGACAATAGACTAAAGACATCTGACAATAGACTAAATACATCTGACAATAGACTAAAAACATCTGACAATAGACTAAATACATCTGACAGTAGACTAAAGACTTCTGACAATAGACTAAAGACATCTGACAATAGACTAAAAACATCTGACAATAGACTAAATACATCTGACAGTAGACTAAAGACTTCTGACAGTAGACTAAAGACTTCTGACAATAGACTACAGACATCTGACTATAGACTAAAGACATCTGACAATAGACTACAGACATCAGACAATAGACTAAAGACATCTGACTAAAGACATCAGACAAT